ATTGGACTTACACCATCCTTTAAGTATACAACAAAGTCTTATCTCGACTAGCTGCTTCTATCTAGATAGGTGTGTCCGTCCGTCTGTCCATTATAATTTGTAAACGCGATGCAGACCACGGTTTTGGAACAATGTTTGTAAAAAATGACAATATTGATACCAATTGGTATCAGTTTAAAGGTCCTCTTGGATATGCTATCGACTTTTATCTAGTCGCTCTAGCCTCCACAATTATAAGCCGAACCTTTCATGTGAAAGGCTATCTGTCAACCAATTCTAAAGGCTTCCAAATTTAATATATAGCAAGTAATTGGTTAATTTTACCCGCTATATATTATTGTGTAAAATAACAATATTTGAATCTTTTGGATTGAATTTTTACTTTGGAAAACATGCCACAGAGGAGCTGTTGACATCTAATCGGTCAAGAGAGTGCAAATATTGCGAATATTACCCAGGCTCGGAAAATAGATCCGCACAGACTCAGTGCTCCGCTCACTGGATTAATTTCGGCTCGATCAAGGGCAAGATTATTATGTTCTTAACGATTCCACAAAAATATTTGCCTTCAGGTCTTCTATGAGAAAGAAGAAGACCTTCAGCTCTTCTATGCAGAAGAAGAAGACCTTGCTATGCGAAAGAGGAAGACATTCAATCCTTCTATGCGGAAGGAGAAGACCTTCAGCTCTTCTATGAGGAATAAGACATTCAGATCTTCTATGAAGAAGAAGAACACCTGAAGCTCTTCTATGAGGCTAATGAAGTCCTTCAGCTATTTTATGAGGAAAATGAAGACCTTCAGCTTTTCTATGAGGAAGATGAAACGTTGCTGGATTTTTTGTACAAATAAATCATGAAAAAATTATGTTAGGTGCTCTATAAGTGGCTATAATCTCTTACAGCCCCTTAAGTGGCAATCCCTTATACCCGTTAACTTACCATCCAAGAAATCGAAATGCCAAATAAAGACACTGAGTTTGCAAAATGTGCATAATATCATCAAAATGCCGAAAATGGTGCTTCAACTGAAAAGTTTATATTTTTTTCTGCTGCTTCTATACCAACCCTCGTTCGTTGACTCTTTCAAATCAAAAAAAAAAAAAAAAACTAAACAAACACGTTCATATTGAAATTAAAATCTCGTGCTGTCTATTTGTGGTGTGGTGTTTGCCCAACTAAAGGCACTCTAAGCTTAATTTTTATCACATCGTTATAGACATTTTGGCCATGTTTCATGTTGCATGTTCTTCGATTTGACTTCTCTTGCTGTTGTTGTTGTTATTGTTGCTGTTGTTTTTATTCCATTTTCTAGCATATGCAAACATAACTCAGTTGAGCAGTCATTCACTCAGACAAAATGTTGCTTTGCCCACAATATCTGTGTCCGTTCCTTCTTTCCATTCATTTTTGACCATTCTGATTCTTGGTGGACTGGCCTGGCTGTTGCCTATGGTGGACTATATTTCATTAACCGAAAGTTGCAATGAATGCCAACAAAAAAAAAAAAACCTTTCAATTTCATGCGTGCAAAATTTGTCAATTGTAATTTCATTTTCAAACTTATGGCAGGCAATGTCCGTTATACCAACCAACCAGCCAACCACCAGCAGGAGACAAGGGGTCTGAACTGTACTATCAAATCGAAAAAAAATCTGCCAAAATCCTCAAATCGCAACTATGAAAATGAAACTTCTAACTGAAATGAAGGTGGCTGCCTTTAAATTAATAGAATTGCATGCATGCATGTGCTGCTTATGCCGATGCCTGGCCACAGAGTTAATGGAAATCAGTCCGGATGCCAGTCCACCAGCCGAACGATGGTGGAGGTAGTGTCTCCAATTGTGTGGATGACTATGGCCGGTTGTTTATGCGCCTGAGTTTGTAAGCCACCGGTTAGTGTTGCGATCGCTGCCACAGCATAGAAAGATTTATGGCGTTGTCACAGAGATTTGTGTCGTGCATGCGCAGTTAATGAAAGTAAAAACTTCTGTGCTATTCTTAACTAAAAAAACGTGTTAGTGAAGCATTTTGTGTTCTGATTCAGCGGCTTCCATCGAAGCTATAGCATAGCCGAACGAAAAGGAATTTATGTCAAATATGTCGAAAGATTTTGTGCTATGTAAATCTCCGCTGATGCTAATACTTTGTAGAGGCTGCAACAATGCGGTCAATTGCTTGTTTGTAATTCTTTTTTTTCAATTTCATTTCATTTGGATTTTGCAATTTTCTTATAATCCATTCATTACTTTCAATTTCCAATTGCAATAAATATGTGAGTGTAATCAGATTAGAATTAAATCATGTTATTATGGATAGTAGAAATGTGTCTAAAAGCGGAATTGTTATGTCACTGTGATCCATAATTAAATATTGTAATCGTTTTCTTTTCGAAGTTGCAGTCATGCGGTGGTCTATGATTTTGTTGCATGGTGATATTCACCTTTATTCTGATGTTCCGTGAATGATCCCTTCCATAGTGTGAGACACATATTCAAGATTCCGGGGCAATGCGTTTTCGATACGAATTGAGACCATTGCTGTATCGCGATCTTGGTTGTGCCAGAATCGAACGGGCTTGCCTTTGAAGAAGCCTCTAACTGTCTCAAATTCCAGGAGGATATTGGAATAGAGATTTATTGCATCAGTGGCCATTTATGGCTTCACGTTCCATTTCGACAATCAGTTGACGTCCGAAGGAATCCCATTGTTGATGCCATCACGATAGCGCCTGAAGTCGGATGTGTCAGCAGGAACTGCCAATTCAATAACACATTATCTTGCTTGAAAACATCGCTCGTCATCTGGACACAGCCGTTTGCAATTCGGAATGCATAATCTTGTGTTATTTGAAAATATCACCATTGTGTGTCACCTAGGAAAGACGTACAAAATCTGGGCATAGTAAAGGATAGAACGATCAATTACCTTTTATGTAGTTATCAACGTTTCTTTATCCTTGCCCCAGGAGGTGCAAGCCAACGCTTTTAGATTGTTATTCCTAGTTTTCACCTTCTGGTTGATGTAGTAAGAGTGCGAGGATAAATGAAGGAGGTTATCGAAGACCAACTCAAGGATTTTCTGATTTTGGACTTTGGGGATGCGCCTACCATCGGTGGTAATGTCATGATTTTGCAATCGATAATTTTAAATTGCGATCCGGGAAGAAGTTGGTGATGGTGGCTAAATATTTGGAAATTTTTACACATGAGCCGGAATGGGGAGTTTTGCAATATACATATTGAACAAACTGAGAGATAGGACAACAACTTGTAGCACTTCCATTTTGATCTTGTGATGTTTGGAGTTTTTGGCTCGGAACTTAACAAAGGCTTGGCGCTCATTAAAGTCCAATAATTACTTCTGTTGTTTTATGCAACAAACTCATATTCAATAATAATAAAATTGCGCCAGCACGAACACATGAAGTTTTTCTCCAAAGAGTACTTGGAATATGGAAGATTTTTTCGAGACCTTAATGCTTTTTTCAAAACATTAATGCTAGAATTTGCAGGACCTCGACAGGATCATATAAAATTTTCTGAATACCACAACAACACAGCATATTCGAAATCACAGTATTTTGTTAAACATCACCCAGAACAGAGTATATTTTTCATTCCTCAAACAAATGTCACAAATACACCTATTTATTCATCTCCATAATTGCCTTAAATATGTACTGATATTTTTTTTGGATAATCGCATATCGAGAGTTTAATAATCAGATAATACGAGTTTTTTATTGTTTAATATTTAACAATAGAAAAATTAAAACACTTATTTCATATTTGATTAAATTTATGTGTATATTTTTGTTTATTTTTTTTTTTATTTTTAATAATAATTTTCTCATATTTTTACGTTGTCATTTGTTTGTTTGTTGTTTTCCAATAATGAATTTTAAAACCGAAAGCAAAAAATACAAAATTATAATAATAGTCATAATAATAATTCACTTACTTAACAATAATTAATTATAAATATTTGTGTGTGTTTTGTTTTTATAAATTTACTTGCAACCAATTTCCGATCGATGAAGATCTTCAAAATTAAGTCATTCATTAGGTTTTTAATTGAATTAAAACTAACGAAATGTTTATTGTTTTTGTGTTGTTGTGTGCGGACTTAAAACTAACAAAAAAGGAAACAAATTATTTGACTAAATACACTTTTTATATTTAAAAAATATTCAATTTAAAAATCACCGTAAAATTACTAAATGCTAAATAAATAAACAAATTGTGTGTGTGTGTGTTTTGTTTTTTTTTTTTCGTATAGATATTTTCACTACTATGTATAGTTTTGGTTTTTGGATTTTATATACAAAAAATATTTTTTTTTTTACTTAAGCTTAAGAACAAAATAACATTATAAATATGTTGCTGTTTTTGTTGTTGTTATCGTTGTCGTCGTTGTTTTGTCATTCCAAAAAGTATTCAAATTAAATGTGAATGACATAACAAAATTTGAAGAATACGAAATGAACGAAATCAAATTCCAGTTATCATCACACATTATTAACATTTCAAGGATGTTTGGAAACAAAACCGACCGATGTTGTATGTGTGTGTGTGTGTGAGTGTTGTTGAAATATATTCATTATTAGTGCTATTAATTTAGTTTTGTTTTAATTTTAATTAAACAATTCAATTTTCATTTCATTATTATTATTGGGTGTTGTTATAGATATTCAATTCAATGATTTTTTTCTTATTGCTATATGTTTGTTATTTTTTTTTTTCTTATAGGAATTAAAAAGGTAACGCTTATATATTAAAAAAAAAAAAATATGTATATTTAAATATTGTTTTCTATACCTAACTGAAAAAAGTACTTAATTCTATAATTAATACATATTTACAGGCTAATAGAATAGAAACTCGGTTGTTTGAACGTGGTGCAATCAAAAATGTCATCAACCTTAAACCGATCTCCTCCACTCTCTCTCTCTCTCTAACTCCTTTAATTCTTTCACAAATCAATATCCTTCTCACATCAAATTACTGATCATCTTCGGTAGTTGTTACAGATTCACTCTGTCCTCCGGCAATTATTTTACTATTTTCTACATTTAGCTCATCGACAGATGAAGGCCTTGACACGGAGAGTTCATTTTCTCCATCACTGCCATTGTAGTCGGTATCATTTTCACCATTACCCATACTTGTTGGGGTGTACAGATCTTCGTTGTATGTGACACGATCCATAAAACTGCGAATTTCATCAAAATACGAATCATCACGATCAGCCTCATTTGAGGACGGCGAATCACTAATGGCCAGTCCGGTGGATTCTGCCTCGTGTTTCTTCAGATGACGATCCAAATTCGTCTGCTGGCCAAAGCACCGATCACACAAATGACAACGGAATGGCCTTTCCTTGTTGTGGATATTCCGGACATGCCTCTGTAAGTTCGACGAAATGCTAAATGCGCGATCACAATATTTACATGTGTAGGGTTGTTCTCCGGTGTGCGTCCTCAAGTGGCGTGTCAAATTTGCCGAGCGTGGGAATACCTTGCCACAGAACTTGCACGTATAACGATCCTTAAGTTTTCCAGATTGATGGGCGGCGGCAGCCATAACACCCGATGATAGACCTCTTAGGGCTTCACGAAAGATGGGTTCGGGCGGAAACGACTCTCCTCTAGCGCGCAACGCATTGGCATCAAAGGCCGGCCGCTCGCCCATTAGTCCTAAAAAAGGGAACGGACGTTGAAAGGCTGATTCCAATGCGTGTGTGCGATAGAGTTCGTCCAAGAGCATGGGATGGATGGGTCGTGGGCAAGAGGGTGGCATATTGGTGTTGGCGCCTGTCTCGTTGATGCCACCTGCGACGTTGCCATTTGTGGTGGGTGGTGATGGTGACGGTGTGGGTCCCGGTGAGGCTGTTGGTGTTCTGCTACTAATGCTGAAGGCAGTTTTGAAAGAGGATTTCTTTTTGGGTGGTTCATAACTTTCAGCATTGCTTAGCTCTTCATTGGCAATGGGGCTGCGATCGCGAGAGCTGCGTTGCTGCAGGGTCATTGATTTCTGACTGCTCTCCTCGTGGCTATCACGGGAGTCAGTTGAAATGCGTTTGCGCGACAGACTTAAATCCAAAGGTAGTTCGGTGGCAGCAGTTGGTTTGTTGTTTGGTTCCTGTTCATGACGAGGTGAGACGGAGACAATGTCAATGGATTTCTACAAGGACAATAGAAAATGAAGTGGAATGTTATTAAAGGACTTTATTGGATTTAAAAATAGTCGAGAATGAATAACAACTTCTCTCTTGTGTGAGAGTGTGTGTGTTGTCTTTTTGAAACCTACCTTATCTTCATCATTATGTCTGGAAACATTTTCCTCTTCCTCGTCATCGCTACCGTTCTTGGTATTTCCATTATCTTTCTCACCATCCTCTTCTTCATCCTTGGGTTCAGTTTTTAATTCTACCACAGAATTGGATTCTTCATCGGAGGTATAATGTTGAGACTCCTTTTTAAAGGCCTTTGTTTGGCTGGCACCTAACGACGATGGTGACCGCTCTACTGAGGAATTACGCGATGGCTTGTTATCCTCTCTTTCCGTCTGTTTGCCCAAAGACAATCCGAAAGCCTCGTGAACAGCGGCCATTTGTTCTTTGGGTGACATGGAATTGTGTTTCAAATGTCCACCCGCTTGTTGTTGATGTGAGACTGGAGAGCGCAGTTGCTGTTGTTGTTGTTGCTGCAGTCTTAGATCCACATTTGGTTTGGTAAACATTAGGGGGTAGGTGGGTGTTGGTACCGCCGGGGCCTGAGGGAACATATTTTGTAAACCAAAGGCCATGGTTGGGGGGAATGGTGGGAAATAGGGGGAGCGCATGAAGAGCGAGAAGGGATTTGGTGGTGTTGCCATATTGTTGGCAAATTGCGATACTCCGTTAATGCCGCTTGCTGTGCCGCTAGATCGCGCTTGTGTTGCTGACGATGATTGCGCCTGCGATTGATGATGCAACGCTGCTGGATGAGGTAGAGTAGGTGGCAATCCGACTCCTGCAGGTGGTACGTTGGTGGAATCACAAAAACGCTTGTGTTTCGATAATGAGGTAACGGTGCTGAAGCTCTGTCCACACTTGTTGCACTTGATTTGCATGCGACAGTCGGCGTGCATCCGTTTGTGCCGACACAAATTCGAGAACTGCGTATATGCTTTGAAGCACACCTCACACTGGAACGGTTTGATGGAGGAGTGAATGTGCGTGTGCTGCTTTAGGCCAGATGAAGTAGCAAATGTTTTACCGCACTCGGGACAAGCGTGACTTCTGGCACCAATGTGGTGGGTACGAATATGACGCTGTAGATTCGATGGATCACAAAATACCTGCAAATGAAATGAAGAAAAAATAAATAATTGAAGAGAGTTAGATAATGTGTAAGTGTGTGTGTGTGTCTGTGTAAGTGTTAACGCTTCGAAAGCTAACACAGAAAAATCAATCTCATTTTTGTTTTCTTCGAAAGAGGCAACAACAGAAAGAAACAGGCCTAGCGGTGGCTACCGTGTATGACAAAAAACCCAAAACCAACCTTTAAAGCCTAATGTTTATCAGTGTAGATGTGTGTGTGTGTGTTTATGGCTTGGGTTTGCCTATGATGGTATGTAAAATACCTTCTTTATTATTTAGAGGACAAATCAGGCGTTACTTTTGGTGGTGGTGGTGGTCTTTAGATGCTCTTTTGTGGTCTTAAAAAGCTACCAAACGAAAACGAAAATATAATCAATCAATCATGCCAGCACCACCACACAACCACCACCACCGCGTTCGGCACGGCACGGGACAGACAATGGATTGTTGGCAAATGAATGAATGGCCCTACAAGAAACAACAGCTACCACTGCTGTGGCGTTTAACAGAAATTCAGTTGCGTTCTCTGTAAAGCGTGTTGTACTCACTCATTCACTTAGTCTTCCAATCAATTGTGGGATTAATCGAATTTCTTGTAGATGAAAAAAATCAAAACAATTTTTGAAACGTCTCTAAACGGATCTGCCAGACGTGAGCTTACAAAACGTAAATCCCAAACAATTGCCCTCCACCACACTCAAATACGTTGATTACGCAAATGAGATCAAAAAGGTAGAGAAGACGCGGGGGGATAACAGCCTAGCACTCCCTCCACCATTTAAATGCCTGTCCATCGATCCATCCACCTATCCAATCGAACAAACGAATTTACCAACCAACCTCCCCTCCATCCATTATTGATAACACGAAGTGATCGAACAGTTGTTGGCCATCAATTGATACAATTGTCGTCGTCGTCATCATCATCATCAGCATCATTGACGAGAGTGTGAGCGTTGTCAAGCAGTTCACCGTTATTCAATAGTGTTGCACTCACACATTAACAAATTTCTGAAGAAACCTTTTGGGCCATTTGTTTACCACCCGCCGCCAATGCTTTGCACGCACACCGAGACATTCCAAAAAAGTTTTTTTTTTTCAATACATAAATTGTTGATTTAGCGTCTTGTTATTTGGTCTGCCTAATCATGCTGTCAAAAAAATCACTTTCAAGAGTACTTCGTCCGCAATATGAGGGGAAGGTGTATTGATTTGTGGAAAAGAAAACTGGAACCACAAAGGAAATGGATTGGAAAATTTGGAGAAAATTGTTTACTGAAATAAAAAATGGAGACTACCAAAAATCCATTTATGGTGATCTGGTATGTCAGCGTAATAGAGATTTTGAAATAGGTACATGAATATTATTCGCTTAATTTTCATACTACTCCCTTAAGGTTCATCCACATCCATTTTTTTAGTCTAATCCTAAAGTTTTTGCCAAACAATAAAATCTCGAAGACAAGAAAAAAAATTTTGAAGAATGATTGTTGTATAGCTCGTGCTGCTCACTATTACCACATTAAATGGATTAGATTCGACTACTACCAAACAGCAAGAACAGCAACAACAACAAGAAAATAAGAAAACAAACGGATTCAATAGATCTCCAAAAAGATGATGAAGCAATGAAAATAAAAGAAGAGTGGGTGGGGGTGGTGGTTGGTTATCAATGTATTTTTAACTTGAATTTTTTCGTTCCCCTCCTTTGCGCCAGCAAAAATTTGAAAATTTGAAGCTTTTTGACTGTCAGCTTAATGTTGTCGTAAAGCGCGATGATCATGAGGCTAAGACCACAGCTAGCCGATAATAACAATAATGCCGATCATTGAGTTTTTTTCTGAAGGTAATTTTGTAGCAACAAACAGCTAAAGAAGAGACGACCAGTAAACCACCTACAAAGAGATTGTATTATTGAGCGTTATATTTATGTGACCATTTGGGGAGTGGTAATGTTGATGACTTTGAAAGTATCTATGTACCATTCCCCCAGCTCCTCTATGCCCCTAGGCTTGAATGACAACAATCAGTGGTTTTTAAAAAGGCGGTAGCTAGAGTTGGCGACATTTTTTGTTTGGTATTGTTGTTATACTTGTATGTGGGTATCGGTGTGTCTGCCTATATTTGGCCACCGAGTTAGATGTTTTACTCTGTAATCTTAATCTGTTAAAATCCTTATAAAGCTTTTCCTTCATTCTCTCTCTTCCTATTCTTTCTAATTCAAGTGCAAGGTTCACCACTGAAAATGTCAGAAGGGTCAACGGAAATGGATCAATGGTAAATGATACTTTCGAAAGGTGAAATCTTTTCAGAGCGAATCAGTAATGGCTGTTTGAGAAGCCTCTCTTAAACTCCAATCAATTAAAATAAATATAATATTCTATTGTAAAATAGGGATTTGATATAAAATTGAGAATTCCCATACTAATACTTATTTTATTCTGAATATTCCAAATTGGAACATTTTTAGTAATTTTTATTTTCTTTGGTCCGCAATATATTTCTAGTTTAGTTCAGACCACTAACGACCTCCATTGAAAGCCACCATCAATTGCTCCAGATTTCTTCATAAATAGATGTTGAATAGAAAGAATTTTGCTTTGGTATGCCACAATAATGGAAGTGTATACTCATAATCACCACAAATGATACACTTGAGGTATAAAATCATCCTAACACCACCAAAAAAAGAAGACGAAGAAAACTCTAAACTAGCCCAACAATTACATTCATTACCGGCTATATTTTCTCATAAATTGATGAACTCAATTCGGAATGCAATGACTGTGTAATTGTAACGGTCCAGACAAGACACAGTGGCCGAGATAAGATTTTTGTGTTCAGTTCAGTACCTCATTCCTTCTTGAATTTATTGTGGCCTTTGCAAGATAACAACACAAACTTCTAACTGATTTTTCTTTTTTTGGTCAGGTTGATCATCAAAGGAAATTAGAAAACCACAATTGAACACCAGCATAGCATCATCAGCATCATCGGCAACATTGGTAGTTGCTGATGGATGCAGCGGCAGCAGCATTTTCAGCTTAGTAATCTTTTGATGTTCAAAATCCATTAAGCCGTTGATGTTGTTGTTCCTCTTCTTCTTAAGAAAACATTACCACCAACCAACAAGAAATGCTTGCCTTTACGATTATGATAATGATGATTGGACATGGAGGAGAGTCTGGATGGAGAAGCTATTGATGAACGATCCACAAAGAAGCTGATGTTTGAGGTTGTTGTTGATGAGGTGCAAGAAAATAATGTCATAAATTAAGGCTATGAAAAGTTTTCTTATCCCTCAATCTAGCCCCAATGCCATCTAGCCATTGTTGTTGGCCACCGCACAAATGACACGCCCAGCCAGCCACTCTTTTTTTGATTTTGTTTCAAAATTACTATGAATAACGAACATTCAAGTGTAACCAGCCAAGTATTTTAATTCCAAATAATGTTTAATTGTTTAATGCATTCCAATTGTTATTATATATGACTTTGCTGTTGTTGCTGTTGTTGAAGGGAAGGGTATCTGGATGAACGATGGCTGGCTATAACATATTAACTGATTCATTTTTTCTCTTTTCTATTTCTTTTGTTTTGTTTCTCTTCTTGATATGGATGAGGGCGTTTTGTTTGCACTGTGGTTAATGGGAGAGACAACTTTTAGGAGATTTTTTCGGTAATAGTGAGAAAAAATAAGCACCACTTTTTGGAAACCTTATTAAATTCTCTAAGATTTTAAAATGCATTAAAATTCCCCATAGTTATTAATAGACTGTGAAAACTTTGGATATTTGGATATTTTAATACTAAAACTGAGTGTATAGATTTTTATGAAAAATATTCCACACGCTTTTTTTAAATTCCGAATTTTGAGAAATTTGAAAATTTTAATTTTTTTATTCCACTGTCCAATGATATGACTTTGAAAGAAGACAAAGAAGCAGTCTTTACTTTTTTGTGGAAGCTAAAAAAGGAGGGTATCAAAAGCACAAATGACCGTCGGCAATATTGATATGTAAGAAATCAAAAGTTGTTGTTGATCGTGTCACATTGCTTAAGCATTTTTCTTGTTTTTGTTGTTGCTACTTTTGATGTTTGATAAAATAGATTTTTGTTTAATCACAAAACCCAAAATGAGATTTCTTTAAGTTGATCAATCTTCACACTTCATTTTTATTTATCTTCTTTGTCAACCAAAAAACAACATCATAAATGAATATATGTGTGTGTGTGTGCATGACAATCCATTTACTTTTCTAAACAATACACAATTGAAGCTCTTTGGAAAAAAATGCGACATGGTCACCAGTAAACAGTAAAACAAAAAAAAAAAAAACATTACTAAGGCCATAATCCATCATCCAATTTAGAAGTGAATAAAAAAAATCAATTCCAAATCCAGTTTATTTTTCTAACGAAAACCAATCTCCAACAAAAACCAAAAAAATATTAAATTATAACTTACCTTGGTACAATTTTCACAAGGATATTTCCTTATTTCGTTGTGGACCAATGCACGATGTTTCAGCAATACAGGACGATGGCAGAAACGTTTCGAACACAATTCACACAGAAATTCGTCTTTGCGAAAATGATGGAGAGCCACTAAATGATCATCAAGTCTGTAAGGATAGATATAAAAAGAAAATTAATTGGTCATCCAAATGTATGTGTCATTTGTTAAATACAACAACAAAAACCAACCACTCAACATGTGTCAGAATTCACATTTCATTTAAATAAATTACAATGTAAACAAAACACACTTGCTGCCTTACTCCTTATTTAGAAGTTCAATAATGGAGCGATTGAAATCTTTTTGACATGAAAACATTTACAAAACAAAAAAATACAACAACAACTAACCAAAAAAACCGAAAGGAGCAAAAAGGTGAAATCACAAAACACTGCACTTGTTGTTGCTTTTTGTTGTTTCTAGTATACTCCCCATTTATTTAGAATAGAAATTATCAGATAAAATCCTTTTTTGGTCTACCCTCCTCTGTAGCCGCTGTTTGTTTAGTGGCCACCAACAAAATTTTCATTTAATATGCAACAAATCAAATGGTTTCATCAGTGGCCCACTCTTCAGCAATAAAAACACAAAAACCTAATTGTCAAAAGGTCGCACGGGATGGCCAACTGGCCATGCCGAAAGGGACATGGTGACCCACAACTTTGAAATCCTCTGTAAATGTTTTTGAAGTTGTTGCTTGACATGTGCTGTCTGTCTGCCTGAATGTTGTGGTGATGATTTTTGTGATTTGTCATTTGCGTGTTGTTGTAAAATCAAAATTATCCATTAACCAACACCAAGCAACAATAAAAGTAACAACACATGCCAGTACTTGTACTCTTCAAGTGTCCTTTTTGTTGTCTGTCCCCAAAGCAAATCATGTCATCAGCTTTATATATGTAAAAAAAATCAAATCAAATCATGGCTCAGCGTTTTATTGATGCGATTGCATGCATTTGCACTCAATTGTAATGGGCCAGAGCCATGGAGTGACCAAACACTTGAAATTAAACGTGTGTGTTTGTGTGTGGAGTAATTGACACTTTTGTGGTGTCCATCCGTCCATCCACTTAAGTGTCAATATTTACCTTAGCTAGTCAGTCAGTCATTCGCTGGCTGTTAACACTTTTCTTTTAGTGGCTAACTATTGAGCAAATATTGACAATTGATCAACAAAATTTGTTGAACAAGGCGAAATATTTGTTGTTTGTAGTTTGTTTTGTCCAAAGATAGTTTGGATGATAACTCAATTGTGGGAAGGGGTTTCTTCGGACTCAATGATTAGGCTCAAGGAGACCAAATGGAATTGGAGAATATGGCAAGAATCTATTTCAGGAATTAATAAGATAACTGAAGAAGGAGTATAGGGATAAGAAGTTCTTTCTCTGTAGCCACATTTTAGAGTAATGGAGAGCGAGAGAAAGGGAATGAGTCAGTGAGAGGAATAAGATCGTAATGGTAAAAATTATTTTGGGTTTAATTTGTTTCCAAAAATATTGTTAAGTGGTATTAATTTGGTTTGTGATTTTGTATCCTTAAAACTGATGGAATATATAACTTATTATATTTCACCAACTATTCTAGAAAATCAATTTTTGTATCAGAACCTAATATGGACTTAAACCACTTTCAAAATAAACTACTTATATTTGAAGGTACTGCTACTGAGGAAAAGGAAAAGACTCTCTTCTGTATTTTTAAAGCGTTGAAATTTTTATAAAAACAACAAACTGGGATTCAGCCTGACTATTTTCAAAAACAAGATTTTTGAGATAAATAATTCAACTAAATTTATTTTTCATGAGAATCAAAATGAATACTATATATTCACACCAAGTTGTATATATTTTTTAACCTATATAATAACTCAACTTTCATTTTTTATTTACTTTCAGTTTACCTTAACCTTTAAATAATTTCAATGCAACGCCTTCCTCTGCAATTGGAATGAATAACCAAAAAAATCATTGAGGTAAGTCTATTTTCCAACTAATTAATTATATATAATTTATAAAATTTCGGCTTAGATATTGATTGTGGGGGCTTTGCGGATAATCATTCAGTCATAATAACAGACCTAATAACCTTTTAACCCTTTATCTATACAACAACACTCCCCCATCTCTTTTTATACTACTACACAAATTAGGCCTCATTATTAATTGTTTTTTTTTTTCGTTCCCCCCAAAAAAACAAGGTGTTCAACAACACTTGTTTAACATTGTATTTGTTGTTTTTGTAATCACACCAAACCAATTTCCCTTCATACCAAACGAAAGTATTAAAGAGGTGTGCTGATGAGTAAATGACAAATTATAATCGGTTAATCATTCCATTTTTTTCGTTGATTTATATCAGCCTTGTAATTATCACTGACTAATTATTCCCTTTGGGATTTAATTTTGCTTTGTTGTTGTTTTTGTTGTCTACCTTTCTTTGAGTGACACAAGAAATCATTAGAAGAGTTTTATGTTACTACTTACCGATCTATATCTCCAAATGTTTTATCGCAAACTTCACAGCGTATATCAAAACCATTTTCATCATCACTTAATGCAGGATCTAGATTGTCCGATGATTTGTCTTTGTTATCTCGGTATTCGTCGTCGTGATTTAAATTTGAACCATAAAATGAAACTGGAAAGAAGAAAAAATACAAATTATGAAAAATTGTTAGGCGATTTTTCTGAGTAAAAGAATATACTTTTTATTTAAGAATGTATTTTTATAGGGTATGTTCTGATTTAGATTTAGGGTTATTTTCATTTCATAGGCTAGAGAGGTAAAGAATAGATAATATTAAAGTTTCGTAATACAAGTTTGGAATATTAGCGCATTATATTTAAAAGTTTTTTAAATGCTATCGACTCATATTTTTTTCTATTTTTTCAAATAAGGAGAACCTATAGAAATTTCCATGATTGTCATTCCCAACTTATAACTTATAGAGTTGAGGATATTATAGTTTCGTAATACAATTTTTTTAATATTAGCGCAGTATATTTAAAAGCTTATTTTTTTCTAAAATAGCTATCGACTGATATATTTTATATTTTTTTCAAATGGGGAAAACCTATAGAAATTCCCATGATCGTGAATTTTTGAAAATAATTGAACTATAGGATCGTACTTTTTGTTTCACTAATATATTTTCATTATATATTAAAAAGTGTATATATTTTTTATATAGAAAATTGTCATTAAAAATATTAATAATATTTTAATGATATCATGTTATTATTTACAAAAAATATATCTTTTTATATTTAAATATTTTTTCCAATTTCCGATCGTACTTGTAGAAAATATTTATATATTTTAATTTTTCTCACATTAACTCACATTATTTTTACTTAAAATTGTTTGTTTATTTTTTTAATTTGATGATCTTTACACAAAGACTCTTCTTCACAACTTCTTTGTCTTCTCTGGAAGAATCGTCGTTCTTTGGTCAGTTTTTTTTTTTATTTATTTATTTCGGTTTGTTTGGTAATCTTCAGTGAGCGCACACACAACTTGACTCTTCCGTTTCCGTTGAACAAGTGTTTGACCATGGAGTCCTGTAAAGCGTCAAGTGTCCTTTGTACGAAGCTCTTGTCTGATGTTCTGTCCGACTGTTCGGTTCCACTTGACCGCTTACCGCACTACACTCATACAGCAGTGGTAGTATTAGTAGTCGCACACTCATTTATTTTGCCACACAAGGACTTTTCATGATTTTCCCTAACCCACAACTACCCACTCGCGGTGGACGTGTTTCATTTTTTTTCGCTTAGTTTTCGTTAAACACGTAAACATATGAAAATAAAAAATGAATAGATAATTGGCTTTTGTATGCATACCAAACATCAAATGCACACATACACACACACAGGCGCGCAACTAACTAAAATAAGGGTAAACTCCCTCACCTGTATGCACAAGAAAAGTATGGTCGTGGACTTTAATAATATTTGCCCAGGACACCCCTAAAAATACAAATCATACCCGAAAGTAGAATAGGCTTCATACACATACACACAGGCAAACACAACACCTGAACTGAGTTGTGGGCCACAAGGTTTGCTGTTGTTGCTATTCTCTTAGGACCTGGCACTTGACCGAAAAGAAGCAGCAACCGTTGAGATACGCAACTGATTGAAAGCCACATTTGACATGATAACAGCAACGACAAAAACTACAACAACAACTGTGAATACCGGTCAAAAAATTAAATCAAATTGTCCATTAAGCAGAGTGACCGGCCACCAAACGTATGCCAGGAGTCAAGAGCTAAAGCAAAGCAGGTGCTGGTGTTTAGACCTAAGGGATGTTACGTAAAGGTCGAGAAGATTTTCGTGACTTTATTTTTTTTTTTAATTCAGAATTTTCTTGCGGTTTTTGACTCAAGCTGGGCACACAGGTGGCCCAACCTCTGACATTGGCCTGAGCTGGCTTTTAGTTTAATGTTAAAAAGTCAATTGCATTTTGGCCTTGTGTCATATGGTTAACAATTCGGGGTGACTGACTAGTCATGTCGCTGAAGGGTGGTAGTGGTGGCGTTTGATTGTTTTCTTCTTTTTGCTTCTTCTCTGCTTCTAATTACGTGTTAATAAAAACAGGAGTAAGAGTGCGGGACACTTACACACCACCTCTTAGCATTATGGGTTCGTAAGAAGAGTGAAAACTGGCTTATGGGTTAGGAACAAAAGGATAAGGACTTTAAAATATGGGTGGTTAACATTTGCCCCATCTAATTTAGGTTTGAGTAAATTATTGAATCACCTGTATAAAATTCCCACGCAAAAACATAAACACATTTTTCCTTAAATAAAAGTGTCATCTGGAGGAGATTCCTGGCGCAATAAGCAGGGTTTTTTTTTGAAATGTAAATCTTTAGAAAAGATAATGCAATGAATCACTTGTATAAAATTCCCACACACAAATTAAAACAACATTTCCTTTAAAGAAAATGTTCAGTTATTATTTATAAATAGGAAACAAATTCCTGATATATCGAAAACTCTTTATAATTATTAGAAATATTTATATATGGTTTGTAAGGAGAATTTTACTTGTATTAAGAGTGGGGTTCGTTCACTAAATGGTGTCTAGGCCAAATTAAGAGATCACAGGTCATTTGAAAAAATACCCGCCTTGGTTTTTATATTTTTAAACGCCAAGGATATTTATTTTCAAATTTCTTTATTTTTCAAAATCAATTAATTGTCACCCCTTCTGTCGTGATTGACATGTTGTCTGTCCTATGCTACTCTCATAAATGATAAATGAATTTCCCGAACAAAAGCAAAAACGCTTTAAAAAGGCCAACGATTGATGATGCTCTTGGCATTAGTGTCTCGATAATGATGTCCACATTTGATCATCCGACTAAATTGCATTAGTTCACCAAGTGCAAGGCGCTTACGGCAGAATGGAAATAAACCCCTTTTTTATTTTTATTTTTTTGAGGTGCTATCACCTCTTTCGCCAACTCCTCTCTATTGATGACGCCTGACATGTGCCGCCACACATATTGTTTTGTCATCAATTGCAAAAACAGTAGTCGTTTGGTTTGACTTTTCTATGGCGTTGTTAAAAGATTTAAGAATGATTGATGATGATCTGCATCATCATAGCCAGTGTCGCTCATTGGAGTTTTTTTCTCTACCGGCTACCTCATCTACCGGCTAATGTCTAATAATGTGAGGCAATAGAAAATTATAGGTTTGGTCCAGAGGCCTTGTTTTTTTTTCTACATGTGAATGGATGATAGTTTAAGCCTTTACTTTTTGTTGTTGTTAGTTTGAGTAAGAAGAAGAACTGTAACAACAACAAAGCCATCAAAAGTGGAAAAAAGTTAATTTAGTTGTTATGGTGTCAACGTGCGATAAAAAATGATGATGATGGGGCATGCCACTAACTAGCTGCAATGATGATGGTGATAATCGTGATGCTTCTGGTGATGGGTGCTGCTGTTTTTTCGTTTATGTCATTTACTACTGATGATATTGTTGATGGTTTAATTAATGGTTATTTTATGTGAAACATGGTACACATGTGATTTTTAACCCTTCCGGGTTTTTTTCTTAATAAGATTATCAGTGTCATGTCAATGGTAATCGAATCTTTTAAGGTAAATCATAGAAAAATTAAAAAAATGATTTTGTCAAATGGCAGGAGACATACATCATATGATGCATGCTCGGTGTATGATTTCATTTTCAAAAATAATGTTCAGATTCTTAAAATATGTAGTTGAAGATTCTGATGTGTGATATAAAACTTTATATATGATCCTCGGGAGGTTAAGTACAGCATTTCAATCACAATTTAGGATATACAATTAACGTTTTCTATAATATAATAATATTGGGATAGATGAGTGTCTCCAGCTTAATAATGTAATCAAAATAGAAAACTTCGAAAATGATTCTTAATATGGTGGAAGTTAATTTGAATGACAGTCTAGACTTATATATTAAATGGTTATCAAAATTCCAGTCCCTGTATCTACTCATTGTTTCTAAATTGTCATCATTGCCACTGTACAACGCTCATCTCTTCAGTTTTATTTTTTAGTTTGCCAATATTGAAATCACTTCTATCAATATTCAAATTACAAACTTCCAGTTAAAAATCAATAATAAATGAATCATGAAAACAATTTTCCATTTTTTTTTTGTCATTGCAAATACGGAAATTCAGTTTTATATTGAATTAAAAAAAAAAACAAAAACCAAAAAAAACCAAGATTCTTCTCTCCACTTGATGTATATTGCATAAATTACTCTAATTTTCCAATGATATATTTAAAAAAAAACCCCCCAAACAACAACAAGAAAATCGCAAAGATTTGAAAACAATCGACAAACAGATCGACTCGTCTAGATAAAGATCATCACCGGAGCAACATCATCAACAACAGCAGCAGCGCTACCACAGCCAAGTAAGCAAAGTGCCGGAGGATAAACCAAAAAAAAACAAACGAAACGTTATTAAAGCAAAAACAAACAGTAAAAATACATTACGCAAACAAGATTAAAAGATAGTGAGGCACACGTACCCCATATAGTAGTATAGCAGATACTGATGTTGTTGTTGCTGCTGCAGTCATACAGTATTAATGTTTTGATCTTGACGCCACACAATCATAAATGTGGGAAACAACACAGCTGGACACCCGGCTAACAAACAAGTAAACGACATTAGCTTTACACCGGTGCAAAACCTCGCTCTCACAAATACAACAACTACAATAACGAAAATTTCCAATGGGCCCTAGGAAAAACCACACAGATGCAACAACAACAAAAACAATTGGCCTATCAAAAAACTGAAACAATTAGTTAAAGATTTGATGTTGAAACTAAATATACACTACAAATGAAGGAACTAGAATGTGGGTAGACTCTCAGGCAGGCAGCAGACAGACAGACCAACAGATAACTTCAGTTACCGAAAAAGGGAGATGTAATAATAAAGATAAATGCGTGACTTGGTGTAAGGCACGCGTTCAACAACAAAAAATATCACAGTCACAAGTTACAATCACGCCATCAAATGTAGCAACATCAAACTCGGCACAGACAGACATATCCCAGTGAACATATTTACGAAAAATAAAAAAAAAACAAAAACCCAGTGATCTTTTAAGCATTAAGAATTTACAAGAGAGAAAATATTACGGCATGATAAAAAATCCGAAAGACCTTTTGAACTGATCTGAAGGCTTCTAACTTTTCACCATCATCACTCCCTATGAAATCTTGAAAATATATAAGTTTTTTTAATTTAATTTTTATTTTTTGGAATTGCAAAAATTTTTTATATTTTATACAACCAAATTAAAGTTTACATTTTGTAGTTTCCATATTTTTAAAATAGAAAATTTATTATTTCAGGCTATTTCTAAAAACCACGTCTTCCTTTTTTAAATTTGTTCACTGGGATATCACTGGTACTCGCTTCTGTTGTTGTTATTGTTAAATTTTTATTTCATAAGGGCTTATTAATGGTTAATATGTTGGCATTGTAATGACAATGTTTGTTGATTACACAATTATTCGGCGAAGGAAATGATGCTGAAATGTGGACATAAAACCACCACCAACGCCAACAACAATAACACCTCCATCTATGACGTAGTAGGACAACAACAACGACAACAAACAGGATCGTTGATATTAAAAACTCATGTTAGGCCACGTTTAGGTTGCAATCAGATGAAAATATGACATGAAATTGATATATACAATGTTTGTCAAACAGATTATAAGGGTTTATAAACGACCGACCGACTGGCTGGCTGGCTGCTGCTAATGTCCTTTAAAATTGAACAATAAAGTGTGAACAAGGACACCGCCACCACCACCGCCAATGATGGGTAGTGCGTAATGTGTGTATTTGTGGAGGGTGCCATAAGCCAGGATTTTTATTAATTTCCTAACAAATGCCCACAGACGCGCATGCGTACATGTGTTTGGCTGACACTAGCATCAATCTCAACCCCCCTTGCACGGTAGCAAACCCCGGCTATACACATGCCCATGTTTTCATTTGTTATTAAAAATTTGTTAAATTGAATGTCATTTAGCAGGAGGAAAACTCTGAACATTAACTTCAAATCAACACATCATCATAATCATCGTCATGACCATCAATATTTTATGATCCAACATCACGCCACCAAAAAAGAATGAAAAAAACTGCAACAACAACACAAAAGTGCACATTTTAATCCTAATCCTCCCGTATAATGGCAACATTTTTATAGAATTGAGGATGATGAGGTACATACTGGAATGATGATGTGATTATGGAACCCCCTCATACGTTGACGGTATGGTGTAGTTTATTAACGTATTGTGTGATCATATCATGATCATGATACCATTGGTTAAATGTATATTTCATGTTTGTTATTTTTTCCTTTCGTTCTTCGGGACATAAAGAGTATTTCAAAGGATAATACTCAATTGAAAAGTAGCACTAATGAAATTTTTGACTCGTGTCTAATTTTAAAAATGTGGACTTTTCAATTTGTTTATGTAGAATGACAATACGATTTAAAGCAACTGTTTTTTTGTTGAAGGGTTACATGATGAGTGGTAGGGATTTATATTTTAAATAAATCCTTTTTGAACACACAACAAGGAAAAGCTTCTATAAAATATATATCTAACAGAAATCTCATAGATATTCAAATTCACAACTAGTTTAATTTTTTATTATTCCTCCCCTCTGTCTTTCTTTTAATTTCAAAACAAATTAAGTTTAAGTATTTAAAAAAACTCACATTTTTGTAACCGATTTTTGCTAACATTTTCCCAACGCCATAAGTTCTTTGAAAAAAAAATCCTTATACACCTGGCTAATTCCTTTACATGAACCCACTACCACACAAAATGACTTTTTAACATAAATTTGTAACGTATTTTTTTTTGTCCTTACCACCTACCAATAAATAAGTGGTAGGTTTTGTTTTCTTGCGCCTCACTGAAGTCATGCTTAGGTGCGCACATATCACCCACTTAAAGGACATTTGTATCGGTATACTTAACATAAGGTTAACAGAAGACATATGGTGGTCAAAACAGTGGTAGTGAGTGGGTTGGTTGTTCACATTTGGTGGGAAAAAGGATAGTTTCTAGAAGTTGTTGTGCAAACAATCAAATTATTTCAAAAGTTGTGGGAAAATTTGTGAGAATATTTTGAAGGGGTGGTGGAAAAGAATACTTTAAATTGAATGTGATAATATTGCAAAATAATTGTTTTTTAATTCAACTTTACTTACTTTTAAAAAATACTAAATAAAAATAATTTTTAAACTTTACTTACCATTATCTCTTTCACTGCGATCTTCACTGCTGTGTATTGATGAGCCGGTATGAGCCTCTCCATTCATTAAGGAATCATTGTGATCATATGGTGTTATGGGCCAACCATCAACAATCATTTCTTCACCAGCTGCAATATCACGATTTGTTTCATACCATAACTAAAATAATTGCAGAAAAAAACTTATTTTTATTTTTTACACCAATTTAAAAAAAAAACCATTTTAACTTACACATCCTGCTATACAAAAATTTGTTAAATTAGCCTCCTTTTCATTATCCACAGAGGTAACAGTGCGAATTTTCTTTAATAAATTTTTCACTTCAGGTGAGGGTTGCAATAAACTACGTATATGGGGCATATTTAAAAGCTGAAAGTAAAAATGAAATAAAAAGAAAAAATATTAATACCTATTTGACAAATCAAAGTAAACTATGCGGAATTTCCGGCTCTGTTAAATGTTGTTTCCTGACTAGCGACATCTGTTGATGTATAGTAAAATTGTAACATTATTTGGTATTTTACTGTAAAAATGGTTTGTGTCATTGCTTAACATGAATATGTTATTTAAAAAATTCTGTTAACGGGAATGTTAAGATGAATTTATGAAATATCTTGTTATTCCTCACCATATAAAAACAAAAAGGGAAGCATACCAATTAAACAAATCCTATAACTGATCTGGCTTGTAGTTCCAACTACAAATTGGCAAATAAAATGTCAATCACCTTAAAAATAATAAATCTCGTCCATATATTCACTATGTTTCCTTAAATTATTATAGATTCTTAAATCCACTCTAAAAAGATTTAATTTATGGATTTGAATTTTATCTGTTTCAAAACTTTTATACCTCGCTCTATTTTATCTCTTCACTACTTTTTGAGAAAATATTGTCCGGTGTTGGGAAGAAATAATTAATTTTAAGGACATTTTACCCTTAAAATTGATTGCAGAAATTACATGCACATGTTTCCGCATCACAAAGACAAAAACAAAAAACCAATTATAACAATACTATTGATTTGATTTACGTTTGAAAACCCCTTTTTCATGTCCACATTTTCAATAAAAAAATTCTCATAAATCCTTTACGTGTTGTGTCCTGCACATTTCATGTCATGTTCTTTTAGTTAGTCCTCCGTTCGTTTGAAGAAGTTTCTTTTGAACTATCCTCTAACGAAATTATAATTAATGAATTGTGGTGAAATGACAAACGTACAACAAATTAAATACAAGAAGCCACACAACAACAATAACAACAAAGGCGAAGAAGATAATATTGTTTCCTTCCAAAGACAAACGGTAGCATGCAACAACAAAAAATATTGATTTGCGTGCGGCACATACCCTAAAGAAGACGTCACACTGTCTGCCAAAGAAAACCCAAGAAGAAAGGGAAGACTTAAGACGGCGGCGGCTGACCGTCCAGTGATAAGTGCGGGTTTCATTTTGGTCTCCAGGGAATGTGGTTATGGTTAATGTGTTACAAAAGGGAGGAGAAGATAGTAATTTCCAAAGATAAATACTAAAGTGTGCGTGACCAGAGAAAGACTTAAGACAAATGTTTAGGGTTGTCCACAATATTTTACAGTTAGTTTTTGGTAAAATTGATTATCAGTTCTTATAAATTAGTTATGAAAGAAGTGATTTTTTGTGTGTCATGAAATCTCAGCGGGAAGCCTGGGTTTAGAAACGAAACTGCTGGGTTTGTGTATGTAATTCATAATAATCAGCAGCAGCATCATCATTATCCTGAAACCCTTTTTTAGAAGAACAACAACAACAATTGAGCAGACCAACATTGAGTTGTAAATACCGAACAATTGATGGCGATTATGCCAAGTGTTGAGTAGCCGTTGAGAGCCGTTGATAAAGAAGTCTCGTCTCGCCTGGCTTTAAATTAATTGGAGTGTAAGCATTCATGCCCAATAACTTTCTTCAATTGCCACGGTGGGTAAGGGCTAAAGTCTTAATCCAAAAGGTTTAAACTTTACAAAGTTCATAACTTTTAAACATTCTCTCTCTCTAAATGTCTGTTAAAGCAATCATGGCAATAGTAGACGTATGCCTGGCTATCCCTTTGCGGGATATTCACTTCATTGTATGGAGAAGCTGGAACTGTTCGGTTAAGTTGTTTCGTGCGGCGTGTTTTTTGTTAAACATGTGTAGCCACTTGACTGTTGTTTTACACCAACTTTTGTTTAGCGGATTCTGGCCGCTACTGTGGCGTGTTATATGTGTGTGACTCTTATTGGTTAACTCATTTGGAAAAACGTCGGTTATTTTCAACAATATGTATTCTCTTGGAACTTTTTTTCTGTGTTGTGTTGGCGTAGCTTTTTTTTTCTTCTTTTTTTGTGAACATCCCGCTGCTGTTGTTTGTAGTAGTTTGGATGAGTATGGTTTTTGTTGTTGCTGTTATTATTAAGTGGCTTATATACGTACGTTCCAGCAACACGCTCCAAAAATTATATTATTTTAATATGTAAGCATATAAAAATGCATCATCATGATTTTTTGTGCAAGAGAGAAAACACTTTGTTCACTCTTAACATCCCTCCTCTGCAAGTTTCCATGTGCCTTGCAGTGATTTTTGAAGAGGATTTTCAAGAGTTTAAATTAAATGGTGACACATGTATGAGCTTGAATGCCGTATGTCGTCGAAATGGGCCTGTACATATGTTCTGCTTGCTCATTTTCAAGTGAGGAAGTTTCTTGATACCTTCTAATTTCCCCTTGGTGGATTGGGGAAACGTCTAAATGGTATTCTTTTTTTTGTTAAAAATATTAAACTCAATATTTTTTTTTAATTTCAAAAATATAGGGTTTAAATAATTGTCTTAGAATTTATTAATCTTTCTGAAAGGATCTAAAAATTATTTCTCGAACTATTCACGAAAAATATGGAATACAATCAGGATCAATAAATAAATGTAATAGAGTTCACTTCGTGGAATTTGTTTAAAAGTAAATTCATAAAAAATTGGTTTACTGAATGCCTACAATTTTTATTTTTCAAAATAACCTCACATTTTTTATAAACTAAATTTCGATTGCCGCCAGCGGAAATATAGAAAATCTATACATTGTTGCAGTATCATCTTATCAATTTCTTGTCCTTTCTTAATCCTTCCGAATATCAAATTTCTATATCTATGTCGATTGATTTTTTATCTTTGTCCATAGACAATATTTTGTGTGTAAACCCTGTCTTAGACCATTTTAAGATCATGTAACACTTTTCAAAAAAAATAAAAAAAACATGAAATTAGTTGTCTCCAATTTCTACAATAACAAAACACTTTTCACATGTTTTCTTTAGATATGACAAAAATATAACAAAACACAATCACTTTTTTATGAAAGGCATTGAAATATGACATTTTCAAAAAATATTGTCAAGACAATGCCAACAGACATGGCCAATTGATATGACAACACCGAGGCAGAGAGAGAGAGAGATCACTTTAATCCCATCTGAATGGAGGATTAGTTAGCTACAAATTTGTGCCTTCCTTGATGCTTCCTGTTTTATTTATCTTTGCCAGATCCAGTTTTGTCTAGCCAAGGATGGATGGCTGGATGGCGAACAATGACAATCTCTGGTATTTGAATTATGAAAATTGGGTTGTCAGCCAGTTTAACACATTTTGTCAAAGGAACTACTTTTTGCAGATTTAAATAAAACCATAACACATAAATTGCACCTTTTTTGCTTTGGTGGTCGCTACACTAATAGCAACAACAACAAGAGAGGAGGGAACCTCGGCTGAGCCATCTATGGAAATATGAAAAATAATATTTACATTATTTTTGCCCCTTTACAAATTTCGTTTTCAATGTGCAAAAAACATATTTTCATTTTTTCGTTTTGGAATATTTGTTTAGTGGATGTTCACACTTTAGGAGTTACAAGCAAATCGAAGGGCACCAACAATAACAACAATATTCCGAAGATGATCTCTATTTCGAGTGCTTCATAAACAAGGGCAATCAAAAACCATAAACGGAAAATAAAGGGAATCCTCCTATGGTTACCTGGCTGTTTTCTTCAATTGGATTGTCTGTCAATCGTTCGTTTCTTCTTCGATTCAGAAGATACAGAAGGCAATGTTGATGATGGGTTTTTGTTATTGTAACAATAAAGCTGTTCATCTGGTGTGAAGAGAGAGGGAGAAAGTGACGGTGACAAGCCCCTAATTGGAATTATCTTGCGTTTGAATTTAAGCCTCATTTAGGGACACTTTGTGGATTTGCCTGCTTTGCTTCCGTGTGAGCAAATTAGCTCTGGTCTGAGGTAATGTGTGTGCGCATGCGTGTTTTTGCGATCTACAAGGATTGTGTTGTTGTTGTCTGTCCGGTCCAGTAGGGGATTATCCTTTAACGGTTGGCAATTGTGCGTTCTTTGGTTCCTGCCTGGCGTTAATTTCCTTATTGATTTGTCAGTCAGTCAACTTGAAGAGTATCACTCTCACATCACTCTAACGGTCATTCGAGCATTTCCCAAGCGTGACAATGGTGATGGTGGTGGCGTCTTTTTTTAATTAAATATTTTCCCAATCACTTAATTTTCACCCAAAAAAAAAAGATAGAAATTGCAAAAATTTTTTCCCTTTTTAGTTGCAAATAAATACAAAATTCATTTGCTTGCCGGATTTGTTGGGTTATGCTGTAACAGGATTAAATTACAAACACACAAATGTGTCAAATATACTCTCACACTCACACATATGTAGGAAATGTGATCTGCTTTGCTTTGAAATGGGAAGGAAGAAAGGAAAAAACAACTACAATTTGCGCAAATTTTTACTGATTTTTATGTCAAAAAAGAAAGAAAATTTTTGTAAACAGATGTGAAAGGATTACTGACGACGACGACGATGATGATGTCCTTTGTTTGTGACTTATATCCTATATTTATTTCCTATTTCCATTTGGTTCATACTTACATCCCATGCATTCGTTTTGTCCGTTGGTTCGCTCATGGCAAATGGTCCAAAACGGGTACCACGTCGCAGATGTTGTTTGGCAAAGACACCATTTTCACGTGGCACTAAATCACAGATGGGTTCCTGAAGACGGGCCATTCGCAACAGCAGGTTTTCTGCTTGCAGTTTACTACTAAGTAACTGCTCCATTTGGGCGGGTGTGGTATGATGTAGCGCTGAACTGTTCAAAAATCCACCAGGACTATTGGTCAGCGACGAATTGGCATCCGTCAAGTCGGTATTTCTTGTGGGCGATTCACTGCCACGATAGCCGTTGTGTAGCTGTTGATTATGCGGTGCAGGATGATGATAACTGCTAAGATCTGTACTGTGGGCACTCAAAGCCAACGGATGTCCCGCTGTGGGTGAGATCAGGTTATGGGGAAATTGTCTGAAAGCACTTAAATCGTAATCGTCACTTGTGCTGCCTGCGAATGGGGAAATGAAGAAAAGAAACGGGAATTTAATTAGAAAAACATAAATCAGATGGATTAAAGGGTCTTATATTAAAAATTAAAAATTATATATGAAACAAATATTTTCCCATATTTTTAATCATGGGTAGATTTTTTTAGCAAATGCTTTACATGTCAAAATATATTTTTTTTAGGAAAAATGATCCTACGATCACTAGGATTATTTAATGTATTCGAAATAATTATTGTGACAATGTTTGATTTCATATATCCCTAGAATTTTAGGGATTTTATATTCTAAGAATATAAAATCGATTTAATAGTCGATATTTTTTCAATATTATTCTGGTTGATTCTTACTGATTAATTTTCAAAAACCATAACATCATGACATCTTTAGAATTAAAAATTAAGTTTCATAATTAGATTTATAAAAAAGTAAATTTTTGGCAATTAGAAGTTTTCATAATTTGTTCGGAAAATTAATTTTTGAATTAAATGAAGTACATTGCTCAAATAATAATTTGTGTTACAATTACATTCGCCAAAATTATTTCTCCAATAACATAACTTTTACTTTGAATAAATAAAAACATTAAAATATGAATATAAAACTATAAAAATCCTAGGCCAAAACAGGCAAAAACAAATTCAGGAATAAAAATATTTCCAATTTTATCTCCAATTGAGAAGATTGAAAAAGCAAATTTTCCCATTTCCTTCAAAATGTGTATAATATTCGTATGGCTTTCCTTCCCAGTTAATGTTGTCTACATCAACTCGGTATGCCGATTAACTGAAATATCACCCCTGTAACTTTACTAATCGCTAACAAACAATCGCAAACAAATTGTTTATTCAATTGTTAATTTCAAATGTTATTAGAAATGTTTCTTCTTTTTGTTTTTGTTGTTTTAAATTAAATGTCCCAATGTCCAAATAGATAATGCGATATGACAATCAAGTTTGTATTTAAAAATAAATGCCTCAGATAGATAGGGGAAGCGCTTAGCTAATACCATTCCGCCGCTGCATTATCAACAACAGAATAATCTGACAAATAAAGCTAATGGGTAAGCAAATTGGCATTATCATTTGATGTCCATCAAATTATGGCTTGTTTCCACAAATTGTCACATTTGAAATGATTTTGCTTTCTGAAGAAGCTCGAAGGGGGAGCCAAGAAGTAGTTGTTAGGGTTTTTCCAATGGTATCTATGAATAGATTTGGATTCACCCATAAATGTTAAAAATATCAATCAATGATTGACACTTTCAAAGCAATGATAGACAATAATGTCATAAGAAGCTTTCCAATTTCTGTTTTTTGTTTTGTTTTTGATAGCCACAATTCTAGAGTACTCCATAGGAGAGCGAGAGATAAGCAGCCATGAGATAGGTAAAAGTAAATAGCAGATATTTCGTGTTCAATTCCCAAGAACGCGATGACCTTGTGTGAGGTCCTTGTTAGATTTGTTGCTGTGTTTGTAACAAGGCGCTAGGTACACGTGTTGCGAGATCTTGTTGTTGGTGTTATTTTAAAGGATTTCATTGTTAACAACAGGATGGTGAGGATGCGATGCTGCTGCACGATGATTGAGTAATATTTTTTTATTTTGTTTTAGTGGTTTACCGCGCTTAGTTAAACACTTGGCCATATTTATCTTTGTGGCCAAGTGTGAAAATTCTCATTGTTGTTTATTACCTTGTTAACAAGTTTACAATGTTGTTACCAATTTTCGGTTGGTTTTGTTTTTGGCCTAATTACAAGAGATTTTCAAGATTAACACTTGTTTTTCAAGTAACTAAATAAAGGACCACTTGAGTTGTATTTTAGTTGTTTTTTGTTTTAAATAAATATTGATACAGGCTTGTTCTAGGGAGATTGTAAATTTTAGACAATTTGTTGTTTTTTTTTTTCAAACAGATAAGAAAACTTGATAAATACCAAAGGGAGTAATCATAGAATTTCAACAGTGCTTTAGAAAATCTTTATTAATCATAATTTAGAAAATTATTAATTGTTGAAAACAAAAACCTCAAAAACCCAGATAAAAAACATATATTTTCATTTTCCTTGCTATGATTCATTTTCAGTTTGTTCTTTTTGAAAATGCACATGCCATGGGCCAGATGTTTCCGATATGCACATATCGTTTGTGGTTAAATGGCTGAACTAAAATAGATCCTTTAACGTTTTGTGGTCAAAGAAAAACATTGTTACATAAGATAAAATACTAGATTTGTGGTCTCTACATACAAATTGTGACAAATTTAAAAATAAATTTTGCACAATAAAATGTTAGCAATTTTTGCGGTGTTTCATAAGGTAGCCTCAATGAATCACTTAGCTGAGGGTATTTTCTATAAAAAGTTTTTGAGTTATGAACATATGAATATTCAGAAATAGTTTTTAAAAACAACAATAATGGTGTGATTCTAGAAAATTCATTGAAGTTAAAACATTTATAAAACTATAAGGGGAACTTCAGAATAATTAAAATATTTAAATTTGAAAGATTTACAAAGTATGAGAAAATTGGGATAGCGAAATGATTTTGTCAAACATGGCAATAATTTTGTGACCGTAAATATGTAAAATTCAGAATTTCATATTTTTGGTGTTAGACAATGTTTGTGGAAAATCGAAAAATAAAAAAATTACTGATTTCAATATTCAAATACAGTCGAGTACGCTTATGACGAACACCGGCCATAACGAACTTTCTTTATAGTGAACACATTTCCTGTTCCCGAAGTTATAAGATTTTTCTACAAATCATTACTCTTATAGCGAACTACGGATATGGCGAACTTTTATTATAACGAATTATTTATTCGGTCCCAAATTCCAGTTTTCATTTATTTTAATTCGGTTATAACGAACATGTTACAACCGTATATGTTATACCAGACGATGACAATCCGCGCCAAAGTTAATTTATACCCTAACTCGGGCAATCTTTACAAATAATGTCATGTTCACCAAAAAACAGAAGTAGCTTAATTATTGTTAACAATTACCCAAAAACTGCCAATATCGGAACTGAATATATATTTTTTCTGCTTTGTCTAACCTGGGATATAACAACCTAATTTTCTCGGTCCCTACTAGTTCGATATAACCGTGCTATACTGTACGTTTGTTGAAAAAAATTCCAACATTCAAAAAAGTTATTATCTCATATGGATTTAGCCTACAAAAGCTGTTCACTTTCAATTTTCTTTTAATAAAACAAATATTAAAATAAAATTGATCTACAACCTCTTCACATCATGCCTTATCTACTTTAGTTTTTTCATTTTTCAATCCTGCATAAAGGAGGAATACAACTCCAACTTTTAAGATATATTTCCATTTAAAATTGTTCAGAATGAATATTGAACGCACAATAGCTTATAACGACGGACAAGGGACCGACGAAATTGGGCGCAATAAGTGATATTCACTATCAGCCATATTAAAACAGGGCTGTGCTTTTCTCGGTCACTTAATGATACCGTCGTTATAAACGATTTCGACTGAACATATAATATTTGTAACTCATGAAACTCCATTTATTTGGTTTATTTTTAAAAAAAGAGAGCATCGGAAATATATATGGAACCAACCATTTTTTTTACTTTAATTTATAGACAACCTATAATTGTTTTTATTTTTATCTTTAACATCCCGACGGATGTGTTGCTTCACTATATCCTCTATACATTTGCCACAACATTTATATATAAAACAATTAGTTACTTCATTTCAACACTGGTGGAGCGAACATACCTGAGACAGCATATCTATCGAAAATCATTTTGCTGAATTAATCCAATTGCAAAATTTGGTGTAAAATATTTTAAAGTTATTATTGTTATTTAAAATTTAATTGGCACTCAATTCAACACTTTAGTTAAACACTCATTGATTTGTGTATAATCTTTGGTAGGGTTTTAATTTGTACAACCTTTTTTTTAGCATAAATACGTATTTGTTATTTTAAATTATTTACTATGAGATTTTCTTTCCACTTTTAGTAATAAATATTTTTTTTAATTTTATCACAATATATTTCTGTTAATTTATTTATTTATATTTCATGTATTTATTTCCGTTGCATTGGTTTCTATTTTATTTATATATTTAATTTCAATTTTAATTTTAAGACCACCAGCAGACTCTTACGTCTGTCTTACGTCAAATTCACAAACGGAACTAAACTGCTCTGAATGGAACAGCGCCGAGACAAACCACAACGGAATGAATGTTGGATAAAAAAAAACAAATCACGGTAGATAGGAATAGACTCAGCGATAATTTCATTCATTGAAAAGTATTTGCCGCACTACGAAAATATTCCTTATAAATTTTTTTCTTTTTTTTTTTTTGCGATGAGTTCTGTTGAGACGAGCAGAAGGAGGAGGAATGTTCACTCTCTTCGTTAAACGGCGATAATGAATGTGTCTCCTCGTCTGCAATTCGATTCGTTGTGAAAGTCAATGGTTGGTGGTTACATTGATGATGTCTCAATGTGTGGTAGCACGGCAAAGACCAGCACAGATTCACGGATGCGTAGAAGGCGCGCAACGTTTTCGTTGTCGTCGTCGCCGTAGTTGTCGGAAGTTGGTTTGCTCTGGGTATGCGTGCGTGTGTATGTGCTGATGTCGCAACAGAGACTGAAATGAAGATGTATGGTGGATGTGCCAGGCTCTGTGTTGTGTTACGTACGTCCGTTCTGCCGGGCTATATGTCCTCTGTCTGCTGATATCTGTGTATCTGATATGATGCTGCTGTGGATGACGATGATGATGACGATGAGGGCAAGGATGAGTTGAATCTCTTGCCTTTAACAACAAA